GGGGAATACATTGCCACCTATAACCACACAAATCTGCAAATCCCTCACCATTCTCGTTTCTTTCTTCCAGATCATGTTGTCCAATGGTCTTCTCATTCCCGGTGTCGTCCATTCCGACTTTGGATTTTAAGTCTCCCATCGAGATGATCAGGTCTTTTCCCACGCTTTTCGATATGATCGATTGCAGCCTCTTATAGAACTGATCTTCATCGTCGTCACTGCTTTCACTGATGGATGCATAATATTGGATAAAATTCCTTGTGATCCCCATCTTTTTCGTTTTAAAGAATGCTTTGATGATCGTAGATCTATGAGATTCCCATCCTATAAATGCTTTTTGTAATTGTTTGGATAGCATGGGATCAACTTCCTGAGTATGTGGAGCATTTTCTTCTTTGTGAACAAAGTACACCAGCAACTCCCTCGAATGTAACCTTTTCTGTCCAGCTTGAGTACAATGAAATTCCTTGTATCTTCTCACCATCATAGCTATTGGACGGGTTCGTTCGTTCTCCCACATTGTTTAAACATTCCATGCACCTATATTAGTCGCTTTTTTGGTTGTTAGAAAAGTCATCGGTCTCGCGACTTCCGAATAATCTCTGCTTTCACCATGAAGTGTCATGACTCCTCAAGATGAAGATCATTCAACGCAGAGGGCAGAATTTCAAAGGCTTAATTTACTATTTTTTGTTAGCATATTTTCACTGAATAAGGTTGCTGACTCAATGCCCAACCCATCTGGTTGATGGGGATTTCGGAACTGACAGACACAGAATGAAACTAACCGCAGACTTCGGATTGTAAATTGATGGTCGTAAAAATTAATGCCAGCCACTTTTACTGATATTTCCAAAGTTTGACTAAATCCTTGAATCACAACCACTTGTAACCCAGTAATTTCGTATTTTTCGTGAGTTTGTAGCGGTAAATATATCCGCAAAACAAAATAGCTCTATAAGTTTTCGACATTGGATGCTGACCACATTAGTTCCAATGGACTCACCTATCTGAAGTCATTCGATCATGCATCCGCATTAGATCACGAGTGGGAACGCCGTGCTCAACAACTCCTGCAATCGCTAGCCGGATTAGTTCAGACGATGCTCCATATATTGACAGTCTATCAAATATATCTTCGAACCTCCTCGCTTCTGTCTTTTGATTTCACTTAGTGGGTACGATTCATAGTAGAAGGTGCTACTGGTTAAAGCTTTGTCAAACTCCGAATACCTGTGGCATCTTCAAGTTAGATGTACCTGTTTATATATGTTGCACCAAAAGCATACATGGTTTACTTCAGCTTGAGTTATTTCGGTTAAGTTTTGGCATTTTTCAAATTCCTTATGAGTTGCTTTTTCTTCGACTGCTCTGCTTTCACATCTTTTAAGATGGTCTGCTCTACTCACAAATGTGGACGGCCAAATGGTTTCTATACAGTGGAGGTAGGAATTCTATGTGATGAGTATAAAAGGCATGTACCCGTTTAAATGAAAAACACCCAAAGCCTAACACTCATTGACTTTATATATTTTATTGTTTAAGTAAGAAGTAATCGGCCTTCTGGTGTTGGACATAGAGAAAGTGTGTGGGAGCTAAATTGGTAACACGAGTACTGACAACGCAGAATATTTCAGTGTACTTAGTGCTGATGGGAATCAAGTCAAATACCCATTTGTGAAACGTCCAAAATGAATTTAAGGATGAGAAACAGCTGTATATTGGTGGTCACGATTTAACAGTAGTACCTGAAGACTAAAATGAATCAATCACCTCTCCAAATAAGTCTAGATGTTGCTATCCCGACTGACGGTAAATAGAGGATAGCGCGGAAACAAAGATAAGGTAAAATGTCAAAAAGCGCGCCCTTTTAGTTGACAAGTCTTTGATAAACGCACGCTTTGAGACAGAGTACTCCACTGAAGTCCCAAAGTAAGAAAGATCTGATCTCACTGAACATTATCGTGAGTGATCAACTCGAATCAAATGACTGTGAAAGAAAACCAACGAGGCATAAAACGATAACGCAATCGAAAACCGTGAACACGACTTTCGAAGGAATCAAATCGGTACGTAAAAGAAAATGACTCTGTTAGAAAGCATGCACACGTCTTGGGGTTTGTGCAATTCAGCATCAGAAATATAGTGACATAAAAGACTTGAAGTGTGCGTATTGCAAAACTAATAAAACCATGTAAGTGGGTTGCAGGCGAGACCGAACTAAGAGGGGTGTTTAAATACGTACTCAGAAGTTACGATTAAAGGTACGTTATACTAAATAATGGAAACAACTCTAGTAGTTTGAATATTTCTGTCTGACTAGATCGCCATTTGGGGAAGGAATCAAGTGAAAGAATGACCTTACTGAATTAGAAAGTCGATAGCAAAACATCGAAGGAAACATTAGGATGCAGAGTTTTCGGGTGGTCAGGTATTCAGATTCAATGCTTCCGAAACCTGTATGAGTAGAACGAGTTATTCTCGATATACCTTAAATGAGTACAACTTAAACACTCGTAATCTGAGAAATAGAATGTCCGAGCTAAGTTTGGAGGTTGACGAAGATAACATTTTGTCGGTCGACTTGACATCCATAAATCTTAGTAAGGTATTCGGTGAGGTTTCGCATCCAGGTTTTGTGCAGCAGATTTCGAGCTTTGGAATAACAGATGCCGTGCAATAATGGGCAAGTGCAGTACCACAAGACACATCATAGGCTCACTACCCCGTCTTCTCTCAAGTCATCAAGTATATTGTCCGTAGATGATATCAAAATCTGGAGAACAATAAGTGGTGAGTTTCGAAGTTAAGAGCTAGAAACCAATTCTACGGAGAATGTGCTAGTACACGTCGCACACGTTAATATATGCCGGTATTCTGTCAAATGTACATCGCCTCCACGCGTGTAGGAAAACAAGGACCAAAGGGTAAGAGTGATTTATAACTTTAATAATGTTACGTACACTCAGTTGTATTGTTTATTGGATGGTTAATAGTGCTGTGCATTTTAGTTGATTCAACTACCAATATTTACATATCCGTAACATTCACAACCTATTTCTCACTTCATTCCTTCTCTTGGTCTTTGAGTATGCACTTGACGAAAATAAATAGGCAGCCAAACTAATGTAACAAGATGATCCGACCTACAGTTATTGTGTTGATCCATGTGATAAACTTGACCGGAGAGTTCGTTCAACAATGACTGTCGTAATCCTTTACAAACAGACACGGAAGCGCGTTAAGTGAAATCTCATCATATTTCACCCAGAACCTTTTGCTATCTAACATCTATCATCACGAACTAAGCTCGTCTGAAAAGTAATGGATAACTAACATCACCTTTCACATCCAGTCACAACGCTTTGTAACAATTTTTCAGGACCCCGATATTAAAATGAAACATTCTAAAAATATTGTGGTCCATTAGACTCTTTATTTCAGATGCTTAATTTTATCTTGTCTGTTGTATGGCCTTCTGCGCTTATTAAATAATATTCAACCAAAATCAGTAATCTGAGAAAACATATAATTATCCTCCCTACTTTATGGAAATCCTTTAGCGCACTATCAAATTCAATCCAGCTTCTAAATCGCTTGTTCAGTATAATACGTTGAAACGACTCGCTTACTTCCACTGAAATTTCACTTGAGCACGAAGCACTGCGGACAACACGCATTAATTATTAAAAAGGTTATTCCTTAAAAAAACACCAACTGAAAGAAGCACAACAAATATTTAGGACTAACCGGTGAGCTGACATTTCGTCTTAACTGATTTGCTTAAAGCGATTCACAAAAACTTTGCGTACCTACAACTTTTAAGGGTATCTTATCTTTCTAACATTATTTTCTGGACCTTATCAACAAATTATATGAAGGTGATGACGTTTACCGCAGCAGTTGGGATCACAGATCATGTTACGAAGCAACAACAGAGCTAACGTGTACCCTACAAAACAGAGAATGAGAAATTAATGCTTTTGGCTGCTATTTTGTGCTTCTTCATGCGGCAGAAGATGATTTAAATATGAAAAAACCTATTACTCATACGACACAACACACCTACGGCATTTGAAATACGGAATGACCGCTTAAAGTCAGGCCATTCAAGGTCGTTGAAACGAAACGGCGGGCCGATTTGAAGGGGTTTGTCCTGTCTTCCAGTGCTTGAAATGGGGAAAGTAATGTCGATGGCGCGTCGGTTTATAATAAATTATAACGTAGAAGAAAGAGCTATGAAATATCTGGAGGTGAACAAAAATGTTTTCAAGGCTCCTCCTAAGCATCCGGGAACCGTTTCAATAGTGGACGAACGATATGAGAAACTATCAGCGCATAATCCGGAATTGGATAAAAATGTTAACTCTTTAGGGATAGTAGCAAAGTCTTTAAATAAAGGCATATTACCCGAAGGTATGGAATACGTTAGTAAAACAACGCGCAAGCTCCCACAGGTTTGTACTTTAATAGAATTATTATGCTAGACGTTAGAAGTATGCTGGCATCTATCCTTATCCTCCACCCAGTGAAGACTTTGGTTTCGTTGTTCCAGAGTCGGTTCCAGAAGGAAGACTAACAATGCGTCAAGCCGTCAAACTTATAGCGACTCATCAGAAAAGCGCTGCAGATATTGATAGTTTAAGTGAATTGTTTAGCCTTGACAAAGAGAAAGTAAACACATTCACTATAATATATTTTATAGACTAAACAAATCCTTGACTACTTTTCGTTGTTTGAAGTCCCCGATAAAGGTATTTGGACTCCTCCTTCAATGCAACAGTCCGAACTGAAGTTGTTAGATGAGGCTGTATCTTACGAGCAAAATGACCTGGAGGATTTGGGAGGAAATGAATATATTCAGCGAAAAACAGTGTTAAAGCAGTTGAATAGAAAATAAATGAACCGCTTTTGTTCCCTATAAATAAATAGTGAATACATGCTTGCGTGCTGACTTTCACTCCTATGTATGATTATAAGCCTTTTGTTTCTTCATAGGAATGCGTGCACTGAAATCTTATTATCGTATTTACCGGCTTTGTGGTGTACCTTGTTTCCCTACACCTATTTCTCGTTCGTGTGCTGTCAAATCGTCATGGTTGCCCGAAGATCTTACAGAACATTTTGATGCTTTTAAGAAAAATATAATATCCGAGTATGAAAACGTCACTAAACTCATGACATCTGGGGCAAAAGAATGTGACCTGTAAGTTAAGAAATGCATCACTCTTAAAGTCTGATCAGTTATATAAAAATGTGATAGTTGGTCAGACGTTTTGTCATTTTGCAATGCAGATAATTAGCCGTTATCAAGTCGCCGATGGTAACACCACTAATCAATGTTTAGGTAACTATTTAGGTCCTATATCTTATTCTATCTGTGAGCGGATATGTGGCTTGAAAACAACTAAGTATAGTGTTTCAACTGGTTGGGAAACATTTATAGTTATATTGTTTAAAGTGAAGTTAGTATGGTTTGCATACACGATTTTCTAAAGTTATTTACATTAGTCAGTCCTACATTTACTACACTATTTTAGTTATGTTAAAATCAAGATATTGAGAAGACGTGATGTTGATCATTAAATTTGTGAGTCATCCGTTTAAGTCGTATAAAAGATGAAAGCTCCTCAGTCTCATGGGTCAGAACGAAGCATACCTCAGTGGTGTATTTGTTTCTTTACTTTGTTAAAAATTCATAGCATTAATATTTCTTGTCGATTCGGTAATCTATTCTCTATATTCTTCCTCACATGGTTTTATTTTTTCTATTGAAATAACCCGGCGAACTGTTATGTCGGCTCACTTAAATCAATACTCGTGAGATTGGTAGTTTTATCGGGCAAATTTTATTCACGAAGATTGTCTGTGATTTCTATAATGAGTTATCTGTGACTTAACTTTCAGCCTTTTAAGGATATATTTACTGATTGAAATCTCACTGACCAACAACCGTACTTTTAGGAAAGAAGTCAACGATATTTGAAACCCATATGTCAGGTACATAAATTTCTCAGTTGAGTGTTACCAAAAGTATATTACTGGAGGTTAGATTATTTGTGATGTGAAAATAAGTTACGTTATCTACCAGTCCAGAATAACTCATTTTTTATTGTTTTATTGATTGCATTCTTCACAACTATCATTCTGGCCCTTTCTTATTTTTAATACTACTGTTGTTACCACCACTATTATTCTTTACTGTTAATTCATTTCTGACTATAATACTTTAAGTAAAAGGAACTTCGAGTGGTTTACTAAACCACGTGGTGGATATTTTACTCACTTGATTTGGATGTCAGTTAACACGATTTTTGTTCCAAACGTAGCTACACTTGGTTAAAAATAAAATAATGAATTGGTTATAGTACATATTTGCCTACAAGAAAATACAGTGTATTTTGTACACTACTGGTGTAAAATAAACATATAACGTGTTAATGTGGGCAGCAAGTAACTTTTTCCTACGTATAAACATTTTAACCGCTTTGTGGGTGTAAGATTCCATCGTTCAATCAGCATTTGCAAATCCGATTTTCTTAACTAGTCACAATACACTTATTATTGTTGACCATTCATTAAGCACATGAGGTAAAATATTCTCTTATGGTTCTTATCACTTGAATAACTTGAAAAACTCATGAAGTGCAGGTAACGCCAATCAATAATTTATGATTTGTAACTTAAGAATCCAACCTGTCTCATAAACTGTATCTTACAGACCTCGTATCCATCGTTAAAGAAATCACGGTTAGCCCACTGGTTTAGAATCTGTTGGTCTATATTTACCATTTCTAATTAGTTTGTATTTTTAGCTAAACGTCCAGGGTGTGTACTTCTTAAGAATTTACGAAAGTAATGTATACACTCGTTCATGGTCTCTTATTTTCATAAGTTTCTCGAGTAATATAATTGTTCGAGTCAATAGGTTCATCATACATCATATTCTTTATATGTTTCCACGTTGATGAATGTACATTTATTTACATCAATCTTTTTTTCAGTATTCCTTTATCTGAATGTTGGAAGAATTTAAGACCAATAGTAGATGTGATTGAAGAACTGGATATATTACTTGAAGCTGATAAAGAAGTAGACCAATTAGTGACAGGTGATTTTTTTTATGAATCATCTCATAAAATACAGTATCACAATATTTTGGTACCAACACATTCATATTCTAAGTGTTTTTAGACAACTGGTTGGTATTACTTACTTTCACTTCTAAAGTGTGTTTCTTACTCAAGTACTTTGTGAATAAGTTAACTAAATTAACTTTAAAATTGCTTAGCCAAGAATTATTACAGTGTTTTTCTGTTCATGAAGTTTAGTATACTAACAGTTCACAAAGTAGGGGCTTTGTTATAATACAATTAGTCCTCATACTCCCTTAATATAATTTAGGTATAATTCGACTTAGAATACTCAGATGATATAATCCTGTTTGGTGAAGACGCTCATAAAATGCAGAGTCTTTTGGTAACACTGAGCAACAATGCCAGAATGTTTGGAATGCCCTTCTCTCCCTCTAAATGCAAGTTGTTGCTTCAGGACTGGTCTGCGTCAACACCTGAACTAAGGATAGGGAGTGAAGTAGTTGAACGCGTTGACAACTTCACTTATCTTGGAAGTCTGATCAGCCCTAATGGGTTGGTGTCTGACGAAATCTCAGCACGGATTCGAAAAGCTCGCTTGGCTTTTGCCAACTTACTTCACCTATGGCGAAGGTGAGATATCCGTCTATCAATAAAAGGACGAGTATACTGCGCGGCAGTCCGTTCTGTTTTAATTTACGGCAGCGAAACATATCCATTAAGAGTAGAAGACACTCGTAAGCTACTAGTATTTGACCACAGATGTCTTAGAAATATTGCCGGCGTCTGCTGGGATCACCGGGTAAGTAATAGTGAGGTTAGACGCAGGGTATTAGGGAATGATGGTAAATCAGTTGATGAGGATGTGAATCTTCATCGACTGAGATGGTTGGGCCACATGTTACGTATGCCCGAACACCGATTACCATGACGTTCAATGCTAACCGGTGTTCGGGATGGTTGGAAGAAAGTTAGGGGCGGCCAAACCAAAACGTGGCATCAGTGCTTGAAGTCACTAACTTCTAGTCTGAGCCATGTTGGTAGATGCAGACTACTTGGTTGGGGTCCGCGTGACTATCGTAACCAATGGTTGGAGACTGTGGGTGACATGGCTCAGAATCAATCACAATGGCGTCGGTGTATACACTCTCTGTTTTCCCTTAAACTAAGAGATTAAAATTGCTTCATATCTTTCTTTCTACTAACTAATTCTTTCTTGCTGTACTATATCCTTATTGCAATCTTTCTTTTATATATTACCACCTCTGGATTAACTACTTTTATGAATCCGGTGTCCATCTTGTTGTGCTAATGAGATATAGCAACTTGAACCGATGCATATGTGTGCCTGGTCCTACGTTGTAGCTGACTGACATTGGTTAAAAACCTGATTGTTTAAAATCATTTGAATTCGAGCTAGAAAGGTTATTTACTAATCATCGTGACCAATACTCAAGTATTTATGTTAATTGTCTGCTTATGTTGTCGTTAGCATTAGCGATTCTGTAAAGCATCGAACTGAATAAGGGGTACATTGAAGCAAGGACTAAAGCCCCATACCTCTCATCGATTTAAATGTAAAAGTCAAACACAAAGCAGCGTGGACGTAGCTTGTGATTTTATTAAAATGATTCCTACAGCAATAATCTTATTGGCGGTAAAGCCCGTTTCATAGACATCCTTTTTGAGATAACGCTCATCGCCTGATGTTTCAGGAATTAATCTTTTACCGTGGAATCCTCTTAATTACTTAGAATACGCAAATGATATTGTTCTGACGAAATAAAGTCTTGTGACTGAAGCAATATAAGCATGTTTAGGATCCATTCTTCTCTAACAAAATATATAATGTTGCTTCATGACTAATCTGTGTCAACGCTTGAACTAGGGATTAGTAGAGATGTGGTTGAGTGTATCGATCAATTAATTTTATTTTGGAAGTCATTAGCCCTAATGGGTTGGTTTGTGATGAAATATCGGCATAAATTTTCAAATTCCGGTTGATTTTTGTTAACCTAAGTCACTTGTGGCGTAGGTGAGATATCTGTTCGTCAACTAAAGAACTATTTGACTGTGAAAAAGTTCGCTCTACTCTACTTTATGAGTGTAAAACGAAGCCTTTGAAAATGAATAAGTGCAGACTTTGTGGTTGGGGTTCGCGAGATTATCATAATCAGTAATTTGAAACTGGATAAAATAGCTCAAGATCGTTCACAATGTGCAAGTGCATTCTCTTGTCTTCTTACAGATCCCAATTTTATAAACTTCCCATAATTTTATTTCACTAATTCATATTTTCTCGAGTTATGTCTTTTCTATTGCCACTGATATTGTCACTACCTCTACTACTCTGGGGCTTGCCCTGACAATTTTATCTCTTCGTACTAATAGTGTACATAGGTCCCACGTTCTCCGTTGCCTTTAACCGACTGACTAGTCGACTAAAATCCTCTGCTCTAGTTAGCGATATCGTCGAACAAAGTAAGAGAATTGTCTCCTTCACCGTATTGATGTCTTTTTATTAATCATAACCGATTTTTCTCTTTATTCAATATTTACTGGAACCGATAATTAGATATTGTCGGTACTGACACTGAGGATGATGTTGATGATTTAAAAGCGATTGCTGAGTTGGAACGTAAACAAAGAAATGTTCAGCGTGAAGCGTTGGAAAAAAAGGTATCAGATTATTTTCCTCTTCAATGTAGAAAAATATTAATTGTTTTATTGGTTCATTTGTTATAATATTATTCGTCATATAATGTCCGCGTCACAAACTTACTACGGCTAAACAACCATTGAAAGCCAGTAAAAGCTGGACGGCTGTTTCTTAGTATAAGACTCTCCAGTAGTGCCCGTGTACGACCCCTGGTGGGATCGAGTTTTGGCCCCCCCCCTCGGCATTGTGGCGAGTGTTCATACTTCATACAGACGGATCGGAATCCAATGGTTTACAGTTCTCACTTCGATAATTTCACGATATCACACGTCTAGTGCTTCCCGATTTCCGTCCGTTTTTTAAATATAGTCAGTCCATCATGTAAACGATAAAATTCAACAATCTCAAATAATCTATTTTACTCGTATGATATTTAACTATTGTTTATCAGATGGGTTTTGTGGATATTATAGTAATTTCAATGGTTAAGATCATGAGTCAGTTGAATATTTATTTATTTATTTATTTGGACACATGAATATTGGTACAAGAGGGCGCCAATATATATGCGCCACACAAAACAATGAAAATTCAAGTGGAATACAAAGAAAGAAAGAAAAAAGCTAAGGAGCGCAACAAAAAAAGAGAGAACAATAACGAAGAGATTGGTGTAAGGTAATGTCCTAGTAATCAGGGAACCCAAAGGTACAATCGGAAGAAATCTTTCAGGTAAGGGAGACAGAACCACTTTTTATGAAGAAAGTAAAAGAAGGTTACAGCAGGATCGCCACTGGCTTCTATTCTGAGCCATATCTGATAACGTCTCTAGCCACTGTGTAGCACCATCTCTCAGACCCCAACCAAGGAGTCGTGAAGGACCAACACAAGCCAGTCCTTTGCAGCTTTCTTTCATGCCACGACACCATGTCATGCACTGACCACCTCTCCGCTTCTTCCAACCAGTCCCAGAGTCGGCAAATAATGCACGACGTGGAATTCTCTGGGACGACATTCGAAGAACATGTCCAAGCCACCGAAGTCGGTGTTTCAAGATGGTAACACCAATTGAATTATCATCTCTGTGCCCGAACACACGATGCCGAGCCTCTGCATTACTGACATGGTGTTGCCACTGAGTGTCAGCAATCCTTCGGAGACAGCGATGATCGAACACAGAGAGTCGTCTAACGTCCTCAACTCGGAGAGGCCAGGTTTCACAAGCACAGAGCAAAACTGCTCTCACTGACGCGTTGTAGATCCGACCTTTTACAGCCAGACTGACATCACGAAGGCGCCAAAGGTGGCCCAGATTGGCATAAGCCGCTCTGGCTTTCACTATACGTGCATTGATCTCATCACTCACACCCCCACCAGCACTTATGCAGCTACCCAGATACACGAACTTCTCGACTACGTCTATCTGCTCACCATCCAGGGTGAGTACAGGATTGGAATCCTGCCAGTCTTGTAGGAGTACTTTGCACTTCGAAGGTGCAAAGCACATACCATACCTACGGACACTGATTGCCAACTGATTAAGTGCGGATTGCATGCCTTGGACATTATCGCACAGTAAGACAATATCGTCCGCATACTCAAGGTCGAGAAGTCTTTCTCCAGGCAACAGATCCACACCACCATTACTTACATTCATCAGAGCTGTTTCCAGAATGTCATCGATGGCAAAGTTGAAGAAGAATGGTGAGATTGGGCAACCCTGTCTAACCCCACTACTCGAATGGAACAATGGAGAGAGGTGGTTGTATGCCCTCACTCTGCCTGAGGTGTTTTTATATAGGGCTTTTAGGATGTTAATAAACTTCTCAGGCACACCCTTCTTCAATAGACAATCCCAGAGAACAGTCCTATCCAACGAATCGAAGGCAGCCCTGATGTCAAGAAACACTACGATTGTTGGCCTTTGAAAAGTATGGCGGTGTTCTAACATTTGGCGGAGGGTGAAGATATGATCAATACATCCTCGACCAGAACGAAACCCAGCCTGCTCCTCGCGAGTCAATCTGTCTCGGGTTTTGAACAACCTACGAAGTATGACGGAAGCCAATAGCTTGGACGCAATCGGAAGTAAACTTATCCCCCGATAGTTGTTACAGGAACGACGTGAACCCTTTTTAAAGATAGGGACAACTATCGACTCATTCCATGACGTTGGTACACTCTCTAGTTCCCAAACCTTTGTAAACAACGTCGTCAATTCCTTAGTCAAAAAGTCACCACCATCTTTAAAAAGAGCCGGAGGTAAGTCATCTGGGCCAGGTGATTTGTAACGTTTCAAGAGTTGGAGTTCCTTGCGGACTTCCTCCTCATTTGGTGGATCAGTCGTCACCGGCCATGGAGGGCAGGACAGTCTGACCGATGTTGCCGGAGCAGCAGGCCAGTTGAACTGCCCTTCGAAAAATTCTGCCCACCGTCCAAGACGTCGATGGATGTTAGTGATTGGCATCCCATCATCCTCGCAGATTGTTTCACTCACACCAGACTTCTTGCTGCCAGTGGCTCGGATGAGTTGGAAGAGCTTCCGGTAGTTACCAGATGCAGCTGCTGCTTCCAGCTCATTAGCACGCTTCGACCACCAGGCTTCTCGGTCCTTACGCAAGCTTCGCCCGATTTCCTTACGTAACATCCTTCGTTTATGGTCAAACTCACGGTCACCCGGAGTAGACCGACGGGCTTCAATGAGTTGTAAGGAACCAGAAGAAACCCAGTGCTTAAAAGCGGGACGTTTCGCAAACCCACAACTGACTGTTCCCGCCATTTTCATGGCGCCATGCAATTGCAACCAATGCTCATCTATACTTTTCGGTGGAGTGGTAGCTAGCCTGGAGGCTAGCTCGGTTCGATACTTACTTGCAACAGAAGTTGCAACCAGCTTGCTAACATCAATCTTTTGGTGGTGGTCACTTCGTTGGCCACTGAAAAGTAAGGCAAGATTGGCGCAGACCAAGGCATGGTCAGAGTCCAGATAGGTACTCCAAAAGGAGCGGCAGTCTTGTACACAACCACGCCAGCGGTAGCTGATCGCGATGTGATCAATCTGAGTCCAGGCTTGGGATGCAGAGGGAGGACGCCAGTTGGCACATCGGCGATGACTGTGCCGAAAGTTAGTGCTAGCCAGAAACAGGTTGTGGTCTGTGCAAGTTGCAGTAGACGGTCCCCGTTATCTGACCTGCGACCAACGAGTCCCTATCGGCCACCTAAACGACTCTCTTCTGTGCCTAGACGCCCGACCTGAGCATTCAAGTCTCCGGCTAGTACTACAATATCTGTCGAACGCACTTTCTGGAGAAGAACAGATAACTGGTGGTAAAACTCATCCTTGATTGCATCCGGGCTGCAATCTGTCGGGGCATAGGCGGAGATGACGAAAAGACATCGTTTCTCACGCCGATTTCTTCTCACTTTGATGGAACTTTCTAATCTAACAGCACATAGCCGACTGTTAATGGGGATCCAATCGACTAGTGCTGCCTCAGCTCTAGCGCTTAGTGCGACACCAACGCCTGCAAGACCAGACGAAGATGCCACAGGGTCCCCGGATAAGCGCACGTAAAACAAGCTTTTTGAAGTGATAGATGTAGAGCGAATTTGTAGTACTTCGCCAGAGTCTTGAATACGGGTCTCGGATAGACAACAAACATCAATATTAAGACTTTCCAAGCCAGCCCTATTTGTTGTCCGACCTGCATAAATGTGCGAACGTTGAAGGCAGCCAGTTTGAATGGCGCACGTGGTTTTAGAAAAACTGCTTCAGTACTCATATTCGGTGGTAACATACAATTTTCAACCGGACAGTGACACGAGAACGTTTAGATACAGTTGAATTTCCACCAAAGACGATCCGCTGTATAAGTATAAAAGAGGGTGAATAATGTGGAAAATAATAATAGGAATAATAATAATAATAATGACAATAGTAATAATAATAGTATTAACAATGACAATAATAGTAATGATAATAATTTGAATCGACTGATTATTTTTCGGAGCGAGAAAAGTGGTTGCCATAGACATAGAGTTCATCGTTTGCGTGTGGGCTGTGATACTGCCCGGGTGCCCAAACCGAAACAGGTGGTTATCTTAGGGGGCCACTCCCCGAGCCTTTGACCTAAAGGTCTAACCCACAAGGCAGTGGAGCATCGTAAGGAGATGCAATCCCATGGTAGCCGGTGACCAAAGATTGGTTCATATGCCATTTGTTCCCGCAGGATACTGGAGCCCATGTGCACCATTGGTTTGTGATCCGGTTAAAGCGCCGGACATTCGCTTTTCGTCCTCTCATTTTCGTAAACAACACCCTCGCCATGAGAAGGCAATGAGTAGGACTCCTCTGGCAGAGGCTGTATACGCGCGGCCGTGTGAGAGTATTTCTAGAGGGAGAGCGGACTCACCCCACTCTCGGCCGTACCAGGGCATTCGGGGGCGTCAGTTGAAGCTAGACCACCATGGAAAACCTGGAAGCAGTGGACGGCCGTTTCGTCCGTTTGTCTTCATATTTGTGTCACTTCGTGATTCTAATTCCATATTTCTTGTCATATTAATCTATTCTGTCGGGATCACATAGTATTTTCACAATATAACACTGATAAGGTCTATGTATTCGGCTGATCACTTATATCTAGTTGGACATTCCAGTTCTGTCTTAACTCAATTCCATAAATTTCGTCACAAATCTGTAAACAGAAGATATACATGTAAAAGATTTCTAACCCTAATATTCACTCTAATAAAATCAAATGTGAGAAGAAAAAGTAACAGCCTTTGAAATATTTCTCCAGAATTGTCATTCGATGTTATCAATATTACAACATTAAGTTCAGTATGTTTGACTGTATTTTATGTGAAGTTGATCTTTTAGTTAAACAATCAGAAGTAACCGATTTAATAAATGTTATATTTTATTGTTAAAGACTTATTCATTATTATTATTATTATTATTATTATTATTATTATTATTATTATTATTATTATTATTATTATTATCAGCTTTATTCAATATTATATTTTTGGTACAATATAGAATTCTCAGCACAAAGTATTTCAACAAGTTTCCGTTTCTTTCTTCTTGGTCGGTCCTGGCGATAAGTATTGAGTGATCTCCAGTTAGGTGTTAGTAGTTCAGTAAATGAACATCTGAATAATGTGCATTCTTTTCGTTGTATATTGCCAGCAACTACATTGTCTCTTATTGAGTTTTTTGTAACTTTGACAACGAAAGGTTGTACACTTTTCAGAAACGCAGCAGACTTGTTTATGCGATTAATAAACATAATGATATATTAAAACAAACAAAAGTAGATAACTTGTTGAAATATTTAGATGGCAGGAACAGGTAGCCCAGATGCTCAAGCAGGCCGCCCTATTAGGTTGCACATCTCAGAACAAAAATATCTGATTTAATTTGTATTTTCAGGGTATCATAAAATTGGTGTTGTGTAGGACTAAGTATCCTGATTATAATTCAGATTTAAAGATCACCTTTGGTTTGTTGAGAAAAATGCTTTTATATCAAGACTAATCCTACGTCGAGTAAAGTTGATTCTAACTTTTCCTGTAATTCGTGCGGTAGTACGTAAAGGATGGTCGACTGTCATATCCAATTTACGTAGTGTGTAATCTTCATAAATGTTGGTGGTAAGGGTTACTTTTATAACACTAGAAGCAGTAATCAGATACAACAATACTCATGTAGTAGTGGTAGTTTTCCAGTTGTTTTCTTCCTCAATTTCGCGCCTAAGAAATTTTAAATTTTAATAGGAAATTGAAATGTTTTGAAAATTGTCGGACTTCCGCCCATAAAAATGCAGCATTTAATAATAATCAGTGCATAAAACTTTATGATTTCTTAGCAACTTTTTGACAGTTGAATTTGAGTTACAAATCTGACTTTTTAGCTCCTTAGTTTGCTACTTCCAACTGATGAACGTGATCTTAATTCAGCTGTAATAATGGAACTATTCGCTGGGGCTGGCGGTAAAGAAGCTGGTTTATTTGCTCATGATTTAATGAATATGTATCATGCTTTCGCCATACAACGAAATTGGTCCTTTACTGTTTTACACAAAACTGTAATGTCGAGTGAAGAATGTGCTCCATCCCATAATGAAACTTCACTTTCGTATGTTCGTATTGAAATTGAAGGTGAACCAACTACAGAATCCGGTATAATGTCATTTGGTGCTTATGGTCAGTTAAAATGGGAGGCTGGCGTTCACCGTGTTCAACGTGTTCCTGTTACTAGTAGTCAGAATAAGATTCATACTAGTACAGTAGCAGTATCGATACAACCTAAGTATGGCGATGTGAGTATTTTAAAACAAAAGACTTTATATTCACTAATTTCATTTGTTGATTAAATTGTGAACATTTGTCCAAACGACGTTCTTCATAAGTCTCACTCGGTCTAAGTTCAAAATTTAAACTGATCAATATCTTTTTCTTAAGGTTCCTTCTTTACTCTGCACATTACTTGTTTGTTAATAATGCCATTCCTAAAGGATTTTGGGAAAAATCTTATAACTGTGTGAATCCACGTTTGACCTAAAGATTCATACATTTGCTAATACTCTATATGAGATTTAACGAAGTTCGTTAATACTATGTTGATTTCCTTGATGAATTTGAAAAATGTAAAAATGAATTCATCCTATTTCAAGGACTTTTGTCAACTTCGAACAGTCTAAAATTAGAAGGAATATCATATCTGAAAACAAAATTTTGGGGCTTTAGTAGTTGAAAGTGACATGAGTGTTCGAAACAAGGCCGAACGCCATAGTTAGAGACGCAAGGTATGTAGGATTTACTTACATTCCTCTCATATATATAGGCTATGACGACATGATGTAATTTCCGTGAAGATTTATTAGATTGATCTGCTCTCATTCAAAGGCTTCATCTCATCACATAACTTCAAACTTTCTGAGTATAGTTGAATCCTTTTTGTGAATAGTAATGTTCATCATATTTTTCCTGAAAGGTTGATATCGATATTCCTGATAATGATTTAAAATGGGAATTCCATCGCCCAACCGGTCCTGGCGGTCAAAATGTGAACAAGTCGACTAGTGCAGTTCGCCTGACACATTTGCCAACCGGTATAGTCATTTCATGTCAACGTGAACGTTATCAACATATAAACAAAGGTTTGGCATTAGACATGCTCAAGGAAAGGTTAGTTTGTTTAATAAAATCGCATCTCATAGTTTACATCATGGATTGATTTTGATGAGACAACCATTAAAAAAAGGAATCACTGGACAACTATTTCGTCCTAGTATGGGGCTTTTTAGTAGAACACATGTACAACCGTACTTAAATTCGAACCTCGAGCCTTCAGGTCTTGCAGCGAACGCTCAATCTTTAGACCACTGAGCCAACATCTAATGGTTTACATATCTAACTCCAATAAATTCGCGATAATACGGTCTCAAACCTGATACAATGGAATTTCTTAATGGGACGAAATAGCTATCCAGTGCTTCTTGTCTTCCATTCGTTGTGTAAATATAATCAATTTGTAACATCAAGTATGAAATGACTTCTTTTTTATTTAATATAGATAAAGAAATAAGAAATCATCTGTGATATATATATTTCTCATTTCATTGTGATTAATAGCTCAACTTCTTAAGTCATCTCACACTGCAATTTTCTTTTTTCATGGTTAAACATCTTTTATCGAGTTCAATCTTTTGACAATCAGCTGAAATTTCATCTGCTTTTATAAAAAAACAGCTGGTGAAGATGTTTATTTGTTGCTGAGTCCGATATTGATTATAATAGTATAACATCATAAAAGTTATGATTATTACATCCAGCACTAATTATAGATAGTCTTAATATTACCTCTCAGTTACTGTGCCTGAAAAGCGTCTTTGTTGCTTGTGTTACACTCGTTTGGTTTTGATGTTTTGAACAACACACTTTCCAATTTATGCAGATCCAACTGTTCTCAGTCGATACTATTAATTCAGTCTTTCGGATTCCACTTCACATGAGCTTTCATTTACCATAACCATCTCTTTTTATGTTTATATCTAGTATCTATATTGATTTAATCTTACTGATCAATTTGAACGACCCTGAACTACACATATAAGTTATTCAATCGAATGTTCCTATTCACAATAGACAGTTCAATACTATATCCAGACCCTAATAATTCAAATAGGATAGCTTTAATAAAGTTTCTTGTTTACTAATGAATAAGCATATTTCCCTCAGTTATAGGGGGAGAAACAATTTTGCGAAAATGTTTCATCTTAACCTAAGCTAAATAATTATTGTTTATTATAATATACTAGGGTTATCTCACTGACATTCAGGGATTGATTATAGGCCTCTGTATAATGCCATTTATTCTGCTTCTACTACAACTTATATAACATGTTTAAATAGTTCTTAACAGATATATATAGTATATGTACCATTCACCGCAGTTCACTTACCTGATTTTCTACACCCAGTTGTAGAATTATTTGTTTCGTCACCTCAATTCCATTTCAGGTTGTTTTGAACGAAATGGTTATTAGAACCCCTTATTATTAGACCTCATACAATACATTTATATCAACATGTAAATCGGTACTCGATTACACAGTTCAGTGAATATTATTATTACTAACATTGTACTACTTACCTCGTGATGGTCGTGGACTTTATTGTTTTACCCAGTTAATGTTAATCTATGATAAAATCAGTTGTTAAGAAGGGCATTTGCGTTACTACAAATGTAGTGGTGATATATTTCAAATTACTTAATTGGTTTTGACTAAATCGTGCATAGATGGTGTGACTGAATTTTTACAAATTGATATGACGTTTTATTTTATAGAGTATCAGTTGGCGTCATATGTCCAAGTTTCAAAGTGTTTAGAGTTCAAATTTTCATTATAATTGCTTCTATTCTCAACAAACCACTATGAATAGTATTTCATTGACTAATAATGATGTGTTTGCTGTCTTATTTGTAAAAAGTTGATTTATCATTCAGTCGGATGTTTATCGTAGAATATAATGCTGCATAAATATTAATCCGTACCAGTAACTTAGCGATTGCAACACTCAGTTTCCAACCATAGGGTTGCAGGCTAGTATTCAATCATATGTGTCTTCGAAACATTGCCCGTGTATTTTGAGATCACGTAGTAAGCAATTTCTGGGTTAGGAATAGATTGCTAGGTAGAGATAGGAAATCGATTAATAAAGTAATAAATTTTCATCAGCTAAGGCGGTTTGGATATGTGTTAGATATGCTCAACCACCATCTACCTCGACTGCCGGTGTTCTCTGGTATAGAAGGAGAAAGCTGGAAAAAAAACTAGGGGCGACCAAACCAAACACGTGGCATCAATATATAAAGTCATTGATAATTGTATTTAGCCATGGTAATAGGTCCAGACTACCTGGTTGGGGTCCTCATGATTGTTGTGACCAATGATTCAAGACTTTGAATGACATAGCTCAAAATCGTTTGCAATGACACAGGCGCATCCATTTTTTGTCTTCGCACAAAGTCTTGGCATCTGAATCCCTCATAACTTTTTATGTGTTTTTATTTCACTAATTTACATTTTCTTGAATAATTTCTCTGATGCCTAATCTTTTCAATCACCACTGATACTGTTACTACCTCTACTATTGTTAGATTTTTCCTGACAATTTCATCTTTCTGTGCTAACAGGCATGGAAACTTGGACCGATGTACTTAAGTACAGGTTCCACGTTGTCGCTGACTGACTAGGTAATATCACTAGCCTTTATATGAGCGGTTCGATTTAAAACAGTATGCAGATTTGTACTTCATGTATTAGTATCATTAATATATCTTATTAAGCAATTTTGGGCAAACATTTTTGGAGTAAACTCAGTCAAATAATCTTCCTTATTTTCAGATATATCTTTCTTGTCAACCATTTCTTTTATCAAGCCTTATTAAGGGAACGCACTATAATAAATCGATGAATCTTTATGAAAAATGACCATAAATGTATGGTTGGAAAAAAATTTCCGGTTGCTGATCTTTTTGCAGTATAATCTATTGTGATTGTTATTAGTGTTACTGCAAATATAAAATAAAAGTCATACTTAGGTTTTGAATTAATTGATGTTGACGATAATGCTCAAGAGTAAACAATGTAAGCTACTCGGATGCAATACCATCAAAAGTATTTGCCTCAGTTGGAAATCTTTTTTTGATTATTATATATTCATTTACTGTTGTCTGAATAGTTCGGAGGTAATTTTTTTCTCATTTGAAAACTTTGTTTCATAATCACCGTTGAAACAGAACTGTACGAATCAGTTTTATTTCATTTCATTTGTATTTTTTCGTCTTTCTCATTCTAAAGGCTTCATAAAATTCATTCAAAATCGCAGTCTCACTTAATTGATTCCATCCGTCGATCTCATTTGGGAAATCTAGATAGATCAGAAAAAATTCGAACTTACAATTTTCCACAAGATCGTATAACAGATCATCGGTTAAACAACTCTTGGAATAATTTATACAGATTTATGAAACAAGCTGTTGGATTAAGTGAAGTAATAGAGAGCTTATACAAACAAGACCAACGAGAACAATTAAAACGAAAGCTATGTACAGGGGACATAAAAAGTTGATTGTGATAAATATTTAGTCTTTATTTTCTCAAATAATACATAGATAAAATAAATCAAATTGTATTCATTTTCCTTTACGGGATTATTTGAACAATAATGCTTGAAAATTGCTTGCTTAGAATAAGAAATTTAGTGTAACTGAGTGAAGTTAATGAGAAAGAATTCCTGTACTTGTGTTTCATGCTAACCAAGGTGTATAACTTGAGGGGATTGATACCTCATCTTGCCTGTATCACTAAGAGTTACTGTCGTAGATATTACCACTGTAATGTTCAGACCGAGATTAACTTGTGACACTGAATGTAAACTTAGGTTCTTGGTTTTTTTGGGTTACTATCAACTATCAAACAGAATGGGACATTATACTGTTTCACATCAACTTGTCGGATAACAACTCGGTCAACATCAATTAGTCAGCATATAACTTTGGTCACTATTTAGTAACCAATCGTTACAAAAATGGGATCTATCTTCAGGCAAATTTAATACAGTGTTTTCTAGTCTCACCTTTCTTCGGTATATCTTCCATATGTACTTTTGAACATGAACGCAGCTGCTTTCTAGAACTGAAAATTCTCGTCTTAAATCCCCGAAAGGCAGGGGGCATGTGATAATGCCGATTTCTAAGGTCAGTTCACTTGTTGGAATCGGTCACTTAGGGAGAAATATCTGACCTTGGCCCCTTCAAAACATGGTATACTTGTTGACTATCCAACTGAATAATGACAAGACAGTACTTCGTTTACTCTCAGGAGTTTCTAAATGATGAGACTCCTCTTAGGCAGCTGGAGTGCAGATTGTGCCATATACATTTCATATTTTCTCTGAGCTTCCCGGATTCTAATTATACACGTGTTTCTTACCGACCTGTGGCGTTCCATCGTACCTGCTGTACCAAGGCTGATAGCAACATTTCTTTTGTCTTAGTAGACGTCGAATATCCCGGCCTATCCGGGGATGGCCGTGCTTCTTCTTTGGGACTGTTCAGGGTATATATGGTTGAGATACCTGATTGTGTAACCGCCCGAATTAGGTACATGCCTCTTGCACTGATGCCCTTGAGTCGACTTCCCAGTTTTCAGCCGATTGATTGATTGCCTCCATTTCTGCCCTCCATATATTAAGGCGGGCGGGCACAGTTGTTTGGCAATCTCAGCCATGAATTCGAGTAATATGACTGCATGATCACTTCTCCCTATTGGTGGGAGGAAAGTCATTTGACCAACGTCATCACCGTTTGTGAACACTAGATTCAATAGAAAAGAAGAACTTCGTAAGTCATATTTGGTGGGATCTCTAATGTGTTGGAATAAACCTAATGCAATTAAGGTTTCTAACAGTTTGCAACCGAATGACGTTATCGATGACCCTACGGCTGAGTTTACCCAGTCGCCTACTATAAGGCCTTTCCCCCTATTATACCAGAACTTAAGTTTGCTTAGGAGGAAGTCACCTACTACACATTTTGGACTGCGATATACTACAACTAAGTCGATATCTTGCCGCTTACATTTCAACTTGCAACGTACCAGTTCACATGTCTCCAAATCATGTGCCACTGCCTCAACTGCTCGTATGGTCAAGTTACTTTTCGTGTACAGGATCTCGCCGCCTCTCCTACAGTTTAGTCTGTCATCCCTACTGGATAAAAAAACCCAGTCGACTGAGTTTTATTAACGAACACTTCTGATGTTATCCATGTTTCTGAGATATCTGATTTTTCTTTATCCACCATTTTCTTGAGCTCCAACATATTACTTAGTAGGCTGCGAGCATTTGTGTAGCACACCTATAATTATATGGACAACTTTCCCTTACCATCTAGAGTGGTTTGTGGATCGTTTTGCTCCAAACGTTTACAATTTGAAAACCCTAAAGAACAAGGTTTCGTTCACCATTTCGGCGGCGCTCATTTATTTCTACTCATGCAGCTCATCTCTTAATACGATCAACCAGGCTGAGATCCTCGCGGACGCATATTACTGATCCAATCAGTTTGAGTGTTTTTCCTAATATCAGGTTTCATACTTCAACCCTAGCAAAGGTAACCTTCAGGAGGCAGTGTCTCTGAGTAGTTCACGTTTTGTCCTATCCTATAAAGCTTAGAGATGTTAACTCCTGAAACTGTTTCTGGGAGTAGCTTGCAATTGAAGGACTTAATCTGACTGAGGTCGTGCTCAAACCCAGCCTTTGATTCCTTATCGGAAGATTTTGTTAAATTATGAAAAATGACCGACCTTTCAGCGAGGTCCGTCTTAACACGGTGTTGAAGTTTTTATTTCTGAAAGCGTTTCTTCCCTGCAGTCCGATTACAATTTAGCACCAAACATAGAGGTCATATTGTGTTTTCTTACTTTTCTTTCCGTAGGGGTAACTGTGAGCCATTCATATACATTATTTCGTCCCTTAATCACATCCTCTACAACGCTCAGACTTGGCTCACCCATAGGTTGTATTGCACTGATATGTGAATCCGGAACTGAAACCGTAGATTCACATGCCTCAGTACTGTCTATAGGTAGTTTCTTCTTCTCACCGCGTCTTTAATTTTTCCTTGTGACAATGCCTACATCTATATGCTCGTTATCTACTTCGACGATAGGGTCCACCTTTACGGTCACATTCAAATCCATAGCTGGGCTCATGATAATACTTTCAATTCATTCGAAAGCGGAATTCCGTTCATCTACTGCTGCCTGTTTATCTGAGGGCAATTTTCTAGCTATGTTTAGCAGCTCAATCGCCTCTAGAATCAGCAGAGACATTGTAGAGCAACATTCTCCACACAACCAACGTGATAATTGCTTGTAGCACCGTTTATATGCAGCCGATGTGTGTTCGGTGCACATATTGTGATACCATTTATTGCAGTTGTCCCATTGCATACCATCGACAGGGAAATGGTAAGCAGGTCTGCCACAACAATGTTTCAGTTGAGCCATGAATTTGTTTTGTGATTTCACAGTGAAAACTGATCTTTAAGTGAAGAGTCTTTTAAAGCTTGATAAGTGATAGACACTGAACACAAACAAAAAGAGAGGTTTATAAATAAATGTGCCTAACAACAATAAAAATTTTTGAATGATTATTCTTGTTTGGCGTTGTTGGAGCTATATTTCTTCACAGTACTTCTTGTGGCTCATTATCTGACACCGGTTTAACCGCATGAAAATGCTATAGACACAAATCTTCCCCTTAACTCCGTACATTACCTGGGTTAACCCTCTCTGCGTAACGTCGGTTATAAGAAGTCATATAAGCGTTGTGTTGGATGAGTTAATTTCAAGCACTCTTAATTATCCAAACCGACATTTAAAGTGAGAAGCGGAAAAACCAAGTGAAGAGGAGAACGCGAGTGAAGAGGCTGAATATGTATAGTCGAATAAAAATAAATAACCGACTTGTGATGAGAAGGGTAAGTAATACATACGCTCATATAAAAAACAGTCAACGTTAATAAACGAATCACTGGCAAATTCGAAATGTAACTCATGAGGAAAGAACGAAAAAAGTTATAATAATCAGCGTGGGCTTGACGTAGTACAAGACACTTCAGATGGATTTTTTTGAGCTATTTTCCCGACTCCCTTATTTATCTACGTTTTGGGACAGATAGAGCTCGTAGAGAGACTTAAAGTAGAGTTATTATAGTGCTCGTAGTTCTTCACACCTTTATAGACTATTCATATATTTCAATAGAATACCACAATTTACATGGCATTCAATCCGTATTGACAAAAAATGTTTTCAATGTCTGATTCAGAAATTTGTCGAAATCTTTAAAAAAAGAAGCTATAACGGTTGCTCATTCTACTTAATCCGTTAGCCCTTCAGGAACTAAGGAGGAATTACTCAAATTGGCACCTGTTGACTACACTATTACGAACTAGTTGTTTTAGCCTTTAAGATCTCAAAATGAGTCAAAAACATATCTCCTCATTTTAGTTTCAGTTTGTGAAGGACCGGAGGCCTGATGGCCTGTGTTAGTCCTGGCAATGGTGGTCTCTCAGTTGATCCAACTTCCTTTTGAAAGAGTCCACGGATGGAGCCTCAACTACGTGCTGAGGTAATGAATTACACTCGTTGATGATTCAGTGGGAAAGTCGATAGTCAGCTGACAAGTAATTTGTTCTGGGCTTGTGAACTATTTTGGAGTGTCCTCGTAAATTCTCTGTCTTGGAAGACAAGAAAAATGAGGCCATATCAAGTGCAAATTTGGCACTAAGCAATTTGAAAACTGTAATCAAGTCGCCTCTAGTTCTGCGATATGACAACGGGAAAAGGTTCAGCTTGGCCAGTCGAGCTTCATACGGAAGCTTCGTTATTCCGGGAATCAGCTTAGTTGCCATTCTCCGAACCTTTTCCAGAAGCTCACTGTCTTTTTTTAAGCAGGAGCTGGTCGCTTGTATGCAGTACTCAAGTTTAGGACGTACGAACACTGTATACAAAGTCAAAAGCGTCTTAGTGTCGACATGACTAAAAGCCCTACGTATTGACCATAACGTTCTAAAACCTTTGGCGGCTATTGCACGGCAGTGTGCAGTAGTCTTTAAGTCTTGGCTATCGATGACTCCTATGTCATTATATGTCTGGACGACAGGTAGCTCAGTGTTATTCATCATGTATGTATCTGTACCTTGATGACCGATATGCATCACAACACACTTGGAAGTATTAGCCGGCAATTACCAGGTTTTAGGCCATTCAGATAATTTCTTTAGGTCATTTTGGAGTTCTAAGCTATCACCCTCACATCGTATCGTTCTCCATATCTTGACATCGTCAGCATATAGCAAGACCGATGATGATAGGAGATGAGGAAGGTCATTTACATACAAGAGGAATAGCACTGGCCCCAAAACTGTACCCTGGGGCACTCCACTAAGCACAGTTTCCCAGCTGGATAACTTTGAATTCACCCTTACTCTTTGTTGACGCCCAACTAAGAAGTCTTTTATCGACATCAATAAATTGGCTTCAATTCTGACATTTCTTAGCTT